AGGTGATCGTGGACCGGCCGCTGCAGGTGTTCCATGTGGAGGTGGAAGTAAAGGATATTAACGATAATCCACCGGTGTTCTCTCTCAGAGAACAAAAGCTGCTGATTTCTGAATCTAAGCAACCTGACTCTCATTTTCCTCTAGAGGGAGCTTCTGATGCGGATATTGGAGAGAATGCTCAATTGACCTACAGACTAAGTCAAAATGAGCACTTTTCTTTAGAATTACCAACAAATAGTAAGCAGACTAAAAGGCTGTCACTTACATTAAAGAAGTCTCTGGATAGAGAGAAAACTGCGGAACTTAATTTACTATTAACGGCTGCAGACGGCGGGAAACCGGAGCTCACTGGCACTGTTCATCTCTTCGTCCGCGTCTTGGATATTAACGACAATGATCCGGAATTTGAACAATCAGAATACAAGGTGAGATTGATGGAAAACGCAGCTAAAGAAACTCTTGTGATAAAGTTAAACGCCACAGATCAAGATGAAGGAGTCAACGGGGAGGTGACATACTCCTTGATGTCGATTAAGCCCAATGGAAAACGTTTATTTACACTACATGAAAACAGTGGAGAAGTAAGGGTCAATGGAACTTTAGACTATGAAGAAAACAAGGTTTATGAAATTGATGTACAGGCTACAGATAAGGGGAATCCCCCAATGGCAGGTCACTGTACAGTCTGGGTCGAAATCTTAGATGCCAATGATAACGCCCCTGAAGTCACTGTGACTTCCCTGTCTCTTCCAGTGCGGGAGGACACTCAGCCAAGCACGGTCATTGCGCTGATCAGTGTATCTGATCGCGACTCTGGTGCCAACGGACAGGTGATCTGTTCTCTAACGCCCAACGTCCCCTTCAAGATCATGTCCACGTTCAAGAACTATTACTCACTAGTGCTGGACAGCGCCCTGGACCGCGAGAGCATGTCTGTCTATAAACTGGTGGTTACAGCGCGGGACGGGGGCTCGCCTTCCCTGTCGGCCACAGCCAGCGTGTCCGTG